GTAACTACATAATATTTTGATATAGAAATCATGGCTGAAACAGAAAAGGATCGGTGACAAAAGGGATTGCTCATCCCTTACGTCATGTAAAAGTACATTAGATAAAGGTGCAAGGTGGGTTCCAGTGCCTTCTCTTGGAAACTGTTCCTCAATCTAACAGATATCAGGCACTTTCACACCAATCCTCCTGTTATTATTCTTCACATTGTGGTAGTGCCCAAGAACACCACGCATTTTTGCTTAGCACTGTACTATACAGACACGTAATAAGAGAGATCCCTGCCTATACTCATACACCTCTAGCACATTCAGCAATTCCTTTTCTTTCTTGTAGGAGGCAGGACAGGGTGGCACCTTAGAGACCAACTCATTCATGCTTTTGTAGGTGGCAACCTACTTTGTTATATGTGATGAGAGAGCAAGGCTACTAAATAAAAAGTAAGTTAAAGAAAATAATTTAAATACAAATCATATTTGGAGACTCAATACCTACAAATAACTGGCACTGCCATGGGCATGCATACACGGCTCCCCAAAAGAACAAAAAGTTAGGAAATCCTAGAGTTAAGGCTGCCTGTGCTTCCTAATTTGTCCTCCAAGGCAAATCCATTACCGCTGGCTTCTTACAGACATTAAAAAAATGTGCTTTATTTTAAAGTTGGAGGGCTCCTGCACTGAGCCCAGCACATGCCCAGAAGAGGCAAAACATTAGTTAGACCCGGCTTGCCCAATGTCTGCACAGATCAGGTGCTTTAGTGGGGCTTTTTTGGTGCTTTTGTCTAACAGCTGACTGAATCAGCTGTTAGATAAAAATGCCAAAATTCCTGTTGAAATGCCTGATCTATACAGACACTGTGGAACCGGGTCAAACTAATGAGCTGCTGGTCAAGCATGGGGGCAGGGGGAAGGGTTTTTTTTTAAATGTCTGTAAGCATCCATACTTTTTAATAATGTAGCCACATGCTATTTTTCCCATACAACCCCTGCCTCATTTAATTGCACGAGTGACTAATTACATATTTTGTTTTTTTCTTATTGCTCAGGCATACAGGTGATACCTTATTTTAATACAAATTCTTCAAACCTTGTTCTGGAGGTAGAATTTGTATTTCCTTATAGGCTTCTCTGGGGTGTTCATCACTGTAACATTCAAGTGCTTCACAAATCTCCTGTGTTGAGGGGGTAACACCCTCACTTTACAGATGAGGAATTGAGGCACAGAGGCATCAAGGCAAAAAATATCTGACAGTTATGGGGAAGACATTCAAGACACTAAGGACTGGATTTTGTTCAGCACAGCATTATTTCGCCTTCTATACAGCTGTGAATACTCAGCACTTCTGTATTGGCACAGCTGTGCTATACAATCTACTGCAATGATATAGTATTATTCCCTTATCTTTGTTCCAGAAATTGGCCTAGAAACAATTCTCCAATACTTTCCAAATCTACATAATTGCACACTTATAGGAATGGAGAACTAACAATACATTTATTGGAAGACTAGCAAATGAAAACTTGAATCAACCTCCTCTCCTTGCCACTCTGCAAAAAGCAAACAAAAACACATTTCATACCTTTTTCTTCTGTTCGATTTGGAAGACATTCTGGCCTTTCTGGAGGTACCTTTCTGATTTCATGCTTTCTGTCCGTGGCAACTGTCAAAGAAACAGGTAAATTTTCAAAAAATGAAACTATTCAGTAAAAAAACCAATAAGAAAGATGTGAGATTTTTTAGTTTTTCTTGTTTTGAAAATTGTACAATAAACTAAACATGCATCTATTTTCACGTAAAGTTGATTACACTATGAAAGCATAAAAACATTACCCTTGTGCAGTGCTCACAGTTAAGTTAGTGTTTTTGAATAAATCTTAGGAGTGCAGGAACGTGACAAAATGAAAATGCAAATTATTTTGTCAATAAGTATAAAATTAAACAGATTCCAAACTTTTAGTTTGAATTTTAAAAAGTTTAAAATGTTGCAATCCTCTACCTATGTATACCAGAAGAATGACTCATATGGGGGGAGGGAGGGGGAAAGAGTCCTTCAGAGTTAGCCATTAAATGGGAAAATTTTAATAACAAAAAAGAGAGAATTAACATACATAAATATCCATTTTTTTCATTTAGTTCCTGCCCGCATTATAATTATTTACACACATTAAATACCGTTCATGTTTAAAAGCAGTTAAACTAAGAATCAACACAGAATGATTTGACTACAAGACAGAAAATTAACTAGGATTTTTTTTTAAACTTTTATCATCATCAGTTCAATTCCACAAATGTTAGCAATAGTGAGAACACTAGTAATTACAGTGCTCTTGGTGGCTGTTAACATTTTAAAAGAATGTATTAGATAAAGATGTCAGGGCAAGACTATCTCATATATATAGGTGTGACACACATATAGGTGTAGCAGGATTTGATTTTATTGGTAAACATCAATAAGTGTCGAGTTCACCTCAGGTATCCAGGTTGTAGCCATATTGGTTTAAAGCAGGGGTCGGCAACCCCCGGCACGTGTGCTGAGTGTGGCATGCGAGGCCATTTTGCTCGGCACGCCACAGCCAGCCCCGGTTCTGGGTAGCTGCTGGAGCCTGGGCTGCTCCCAGCAGGGCTTGCAGTGTCCCAGCTGCCTGCTGGGAGCAGCCCAGACTCTGTGTCTGGCAGCAACTACCCAGAGCCGGGGCCAGCTGCAGCTGGGAGGCTCCAAACAGCTGCACCGGGCTCCGAATCCCGAGCATCAGCTCCATGCCAGCACGTGCACCCGTGCATCGGAGCGGGCAGTGGGGGAGGGCCCTGAGGCAACGCAACCTTGGTCTCTCCCCCGACTCCTGGCACGGAAGTGGTGACTGGGCTCCGAAGCCTGGCACAGCTGTTTATAGCCAGCCTGGGCTCTGGGCAGTTGCAGCAAGCAGCGGGCAGGCTGCAAACAGCTGCACCGGACCCCACAGCTCTGGCATCAGTTCTACGCTGGCAGTGACTGCACACACACCTCAGGACAGACAGCAGGGCAGCGCAGCCCGCCCCAAGGTGCACCTGTTTGCAGCCTGCCCGCTGCTTGCTGCAGCTGCCCAGAGCCCAGGCTGGCTCCAAACAGCTGTGCGGGGCTCCAGAGCCCAGTCACCAGCTCTGTGCCAGAAGCGGGGGAGAGACCAGGGTTGCGCTGCCTCAGGCTCCTCCCCCACTTTCTGCTCTGAGGCACACCTGCACATGCCAGTACAGAGCTTATGCTGGGGATATGGAGCCCAGCACAGCTGTTTGGAGCCTCCTGGCTGCAACCGGCCCCGGCTCTAGGTAGCTGCTGCTAGCCAGGAGCCCAGGCTGAGGGGCAGGGGCAGCTGGGCTGGGGGGAACAGGCTTTCGGTGGGGGGCAAGGGGCACACACATCCTGCCATGTACCCCCTGCCCTCATTTTGTTTTTCTGGCATGCTGGCACTCCAGCACCTTCCAAGGTAAGCATTGTAGGGGTTTTCGGCACTCAGGCCAAAAAACGTTGCCTACCCCTGGTCTAAAGGCTACTCACAGACTGATGAAACAATATTTTCATTGTTGATAAACAAAAGAGGGGAAGAACAGAAGGGCCGGCCTCTTTAAAGAGAAAAACAGCCCCGGGTCTAATGGCTCATCAATTAAGCAATTAGCTGATCATTCACAGGTGCCAGGAAGTGAGGTGGAGGGAGATAACAGGCTACTTAAACCCCTACTTAAAGCCCAGAAAAAGGCTGTTCCTGATGCCTGAATGGGACAACTCAGCTGCAGCAAACTGGGAAGAGACTGTAAAAAAAGGAGAAGCAGCCTACTGTTGAGACTGGTATACAAACAGAAGGACTCCAATTAGAAAGGATATAAGTTTTGGTGTTTTCTTGACCTTTTTGTTGTTGGGTTGGTTTGTTGTTTGTTTTTTGTTTTTGTTATTTCAGGGGTGGAAGATCTTTACGTTGCTAATTTAATTGAAAATCAATAAAAATTTAAATAAATGCTCAAAATAAACACTATTATCTGTCAGAAAGTTTTAAAAAATGAATTCTAGCCTAATTAAATAGTATTTCAAGTAATGGAGACTACTGGCATCATGTCTCCACTATCTGCCACAATGTTGCTTTCGCAGCCTG